TAAATAGAACGGCAAGGATAAAGGCAGTTGAAAGGATGCGAGGAAAGAGTGGTATGCATTGAACATAGGAACGTTAAGATGGCACGTGAGGAAATGATATGCACTAACGCAGGAACAGCATACCGAATGGAGAGGACCATTATATACAACAATGGTAGGTCCGCTGCGAGAGCAGGGCACAAAGCAAAAGGGAAAGAAGAGGCAGGGAGTGAGGAAGGGAAGAAGAATGAAATGAATTGAACATAGGAACGCTAAGATGGCACACTACACACAAAGAGAGAGAGAGAGAGGGAGTTACAGAGAGTGAGAGAGTGAGAGTGAGAGCGAGCTAGTCTCATACTAGAATCCAGCAAATGGAATGAAGTCCAAGAGAAGGAGCAAAGGAAAGAAACTATACAAACAGGACACCTACAGTGCATGACACTCTTGGGGCTGCTGGATGGAAAAGGTTTTTTGCGGAAACTGAGTTTCTGGTGTGGGAGAACTGGAAAGCGTCGACAGAGAGAGAGAGAGAGAGGGAGAGAGAGAGAGAGACCAGCAAACAGAGTACAACACCCTTAAGGCCTGCAACAAACAATAAGATGGCATACCAGCCAAACGGCTCTAGTAGATTACAATGCCGATCCCCCCAAGCATCAACTGACCACTATGATGGCACACATGGCCCTTTCAGATCCTCGATGTGTTTCATCAAAAAGTGCATATATGCCATGTATTGTCTCGATTCCTGTGTGCCATCAAAGTGTGAACCTGTATAATTGTTATAATTTCATAATAATATGTTGTCATAGAAAATATATTATCATGAGTATGTTTCAGTGTCTTCATCATAATCAATTTTGTAACATTGTATGGTGGTCTCTTTAGGTTGTTTTATTATTTTTGAATTCACCATGTCTAAATACTGCTTCCTTTTGGTTTCAAAGTCCCCTACTGGTCTACCTATGCTTTTCTTTTCAGATGCTTCTCCATTTTCCTTAAATCATTTTTTCTCATTAGTCTTTTCATCAATGGTTTTTAACAACTGTAAGATCAATTTAAGACTATTATTATATCTGTTCATTTTCTTTATCAGCTCATCCATTTTATCAGTATTATCTAAAGTAATAGATCCACCATCATCGTTTGAAACTTTCATAGTCTTATCTTATCACTCTTGCTGATTTTAAAGCTATATGGATTACACTTACACTGTTTGCCTTTAGTGTTGATTTCAATTTCATTCTCAGTTGTAGTTTTCCCTGGCATAAAGGACAGTCAAAGGCAATGAATTTGCTTGTTAGTTTTTGTTCTTCATCTAGTTTTATTGTTGTTGGTTCTTCATCTGCTAGTTCAAACTCTTCGGGGATTTGTGTTTTATTCATCTTTGTTGATTTTTTGTCTTGTTTGGTGGCATGTATAATATTACATTTTAGATAAGTAATTATCAATTTTGACATTTCCAGTGAGTATTTACAACACTGCTTAAGTTTATTATCTTTAACAACTGGATATTTAGCACTATCATTTTTTTCCATATCATCTCTTCCTGTTATATAAGCATCATGTTCAGATAGCGTCATAATATATAACTATAATTAGATAATGCTTTAACACCATCTAATTATGTAGTGCTTGGGAGAACACTAAAAACGAATTCAACTGTAAGGGCAAAAAATCCATTGCTGAAAAGCAAACTAATTACCGACTTATGCGGATTAGCGTAGCCTCACCTACCGCACTCTGTCCATAGGAGATCTGCTAATATTTAATAATGTTTTCTATGTATTTTTATTAATAGATGAATAATAACACCGCACCACATATTCAACCTATCAAAGAAATCAATTATGAATTCACTCAATCAAAATATGCTGTTGCCTCTAAAGTGCCCTTTAGATCAATCATAACCGGTCCGTCTGGTAGTAGCAAATCAGTGCTACTAACAAACATGAATATGGACACCTACAAGGAAGTTTTTCAAGGGTGTATATCTGGTCACCTTCAATAAATGTTGATAGCATCTGGTTGCCAGTCAAGAAATACATAAAGGAAGAAATGAAAGTGAACACTGGTAAAGAGCAGGTTTTGTTTGAAGACTTTCACAGTGAAGATTTAATGAAAGTCATTGAAACACAACATAGAATAACTGAATACAGTAAAAAAACATAAATAAAAAAAACAATCCTAATAGTCTTGGATGATATAGCAGATGATCCCAAAATAGCAAGATATTCAAACATATTTGATTCCCTTTATGTAAGAGGTAGACACAATGGTATTAGTGTTATAACATCTGTTCACAAATTTAATGCACTGACCACACTGATAAGAGTTAATGCCACACACCTATGCTTCTACAAGGTCAGCAACTTTAAAGAAATAGAACTGTTTCAAAAAGAACTATCAGCAATACCTAGAAGAAAAGAAACAATATCCAAGAAAGGAAGCAGGTCTTATATAAACTTTATGAAATAGCCACTGAACAGCCACATATGTTTTTAGATATTAATCTTCTGGAAAAGGATAGGAACAAGATGTTTATGATCAATTTTTCACACTATTTGCAAATTGATGATTGATAATGTTAATATGATCAATCTTTATACCAATGAAGGAGCACAAATATTATAGCAGGTAGTTTATACATAATCCTATTCGATTTCAGGATGTGAGCAGCTGGGAAGGTTCGTCAAGGGTACACATTCTATCACGAGCGAAATGAACCCCAAAGGTCCCTACCACATATATATATACAGTGTACGAAAAGGTCAACTGGTCTCAGTTCCATTTTTTAGCTCGGGGGAGGGTAGGCCGCTAAGAGGAAGAGGTAGCTAGTAGCTTGAAGAAGGTCTTGCACTATTCATTCGGTTCCGAGGGTGCTGAGGCAAGACTTGTGCAAAGTGAAAGAGAGAGAGAGAGAGAGAAGAAGTGTTTGAGTGTGAATACACATTGCCACGTGAGACCAAACTATAGAAGCTGATCTTTGATGGAAGCCTATTCAGTGATCATGCAGACCGCCGGATTCTTGTGGGCTACAAGGCCCTCCAAAAGCTTTCAATACGTTGTCAAGCTGCAGTGCCAAAACCAATCAGCTCTCTTTCCCTCTTCTCCTCCTCCTTCAACAACTCCAGCTCAGTCTCACAGGCCTTCAGACATCTGGAAGCAGAGCTGAAGCAAAGCACGCTGAATGAAACCACAGCACATCCATTTGCCTCCACGTCAGCACCTTGTCGAGGGCAAAAGGAGCAACTTGAAAGGGTAAAGGAACACACAACGGTCTTGAATATCAGTTTATAATAGTAAGGCACCTGTTATTACTAGCGTGGCACCTGTTACTACTAGCGTGGCACCTGTTACTACTA